CTGTTAGATTAACCAGTATACATAAGTAATTTCATGTTTTTGTCTGTTAGATTAACCAGTATACATAAGTAATTTCATGTTTTTGTCTGTTAGATTAACCAGTATACATAAGTAATTTCATATTTTTGTCTGTTAGATTAACCAGTATACAAAACTGGCCGAAAAGTAATAATTAAAGAATCACTCATGCGATAAATTACAGTATTAAAGAGATTTTGCATTTAAATTATTTTTGTGACTCACATATTACTAGGGTTTCTGTAATCAACAAAGCACCCACAAGTAATTTAGGTGAATAAATAGTTTTAAAAAATTACAAAAAGCTGATGGAGTCTGAGCTAGTTTGAACCCCATCAGCAATTTTTATTTGAAGGGGTTTTTATGAACTGCCCACATTAAATACCAAATAGCATTATACCAAATTCACGCCCCCCCCCCCCAGTGGCTTGTTTGTTTCTGTTTTTGAATTTCGCGCAAAGCTACACGAGGGCTATCTGCGCTAATCGTTCCTAATTTGCTTGGACTACTCTTTCTACCAACGAATAGTGAGATTGATCGTATCTTTATAACGCCCCACGGTTGAAAGGACGAGTATGTTTGGTGTGACGAGGATTCAAACCCGCGACTCAAAGATTGCAAGTCGAGCGCCCTAACCACCTGGCCTACAACAAACAGACCAACAAAGTGAGTTTAAAACACTTAAATACATCAGCGAACGTAGTGTATTTTGAACTGTCTTGTATTGATTGCTTTCAATAACGGCAACATTTAGCCTATACTTTTAATTTGTACATTAGATACCTAATCAACGAAAACAAATATAAATAAAAACTGAATACGAAACTAAATATACAACTTTCACAGAAACCTTAAAATAGTGTTACTTTTCACCAGGACAGGATACGTAATTGATCTGTGAATGTCTTTTGTGCAGACGGACAATCAGAAATTAATACGTAAGCATATCGCCTTTAATAGAAAAACTAGTAGTAAATGAAGTCTAAGGCAAGTGTTTGTAGGTACTACGAAATTAGCAGGACAGCGATAAAATTGGGTGAAACTTATTTGTAAATAAATATTGTTGGTTGTCACAAAACTTGACAATATTTCTACCTGTTTGTTATTATATTCCATCATGTATGAATGTTTTTTGACATGATGCATTAGTACGTAGCTTAAGCTGTATGCTTTCCTTTCAGTAACATAAAAGTAGGAATTGGGCCTGGCACAGCTTACTGGTTAGGGGCGCTCGACTCGAGGGTCGCAAGTTCGAATCCTCATCACCGAACATGCTCATCACGTGTAGTTGCCGACTGGGTCAGCCACCCGGGTGTAAAAATTATTGGCTTACACAAGTATTATCCAACTAGTTGGGATTAAGGTCGGGAGGGGGAGAGTAGGAATTGTTGTTCAACCCTCTTCCAAGGAATTCGTTTTTACGATCTAAGCTAATGTAATTCCTCTGATTTAGCTGGTAGAAAAATTGACTGTTTATACACAACACGCTGGAGATGAAAATAGTGAGGACGGAAAAACTAACTCCTCACATCTGTAACCTTGGTTTCACAAGTGGGGAGATGGAGAGTGGTTGCTATAATTTCTGAAAGTGCACATCATATGACTGAATCACGTGACCATTATTGTTGAGATGTGAGAGGGACACTCATCCTATATTCAACGTACTTTTTATAACGGTAACAATAACAGGTCTTAAGGGTATGCTATCACAATTTACTCCACAAGAAATCTGCAATTAGAAAGAAGCACGTGGGTATTCCATAAACAACATGCCTTTCCTACTTCAGGATAATTGAAATGAAAATAAATCATTTATAGCACGATATTTCACTAAGACTAGTGACAATAGCAAGAAACAACGAGACTTTAAGTCTAAGAAAATAAAAAAACGTTAGAGGCATCAGAAGTTCTAATGTCACACAAATGTCAGTTTCTATCGAAACTCCACATGTGGAACAGATTCATATAAAAATCTACTTTACGTCAACTGACAAAATGCGTTGCTAACAGAAAATCGAACGTCAATATAACAAATTTCCCATAGCAACGATCGAAAAAGTTTGATAAAAAAAAAAGAGGCGTATCGACTGAAGATAAAAAGATAGAAAGAGTTGCCGAGGCTAGTACTTTACAGGGGTTTAAGAGGGGTGGGTGGGAGAGATAATTTATTTCCTGAAACTAAAGGGTGGATTTTAAGTTTTACTTTTATCAAGGGCTGGTGTGCAAGAACAACCAAGTGGTTTCCTGTTGTTCGTGTGTTATGTTTAGAAGGCTACATTTTGCTTGTTTGGTTACAGTAATTTGGTGACCACATTCCCTTTTGTTTGTCTGAAATTTCTATCAATCGCTAAATCAGTCTACGTAATTAAACTAAGGTCATACTGAGTGGATTTTATTGATTAAATAAAATCAATCATTGTATATCAAATTCAGTCGTGGCGAAACTCAAACCAAATACTTATTTTGCAAGGCTAAAATATGATTATCAGATGTTTGGCGTTTTCATATTACTCTAAGCCTTCTTGTTGCTTACATATTTTCTATAAGGCTTAATTAATGACTCTTATATACTGATATGAAGTCTGATGTTGTTTTCAACTTGTTAATCTAATTCTCGTTTGGTGACTCTGTATTGTCCTCTTACTTAGTAAATGCTTTTTCAGTGAGTATATGCTGTTTCTCTGCATTAAGTATTGAATAATCAGAAAACTATAAAATGATTTGCATATTATCGTAAAACATCAACAACAATAATATACAAAACCGTCAGATTTGGCCCATCGTATTCTTGGTTCAGGAAACCCCTCCGCTTGACAGTCGACAACAATGCCTCGTCCCTTGATTACAGAACTGTCCGAAGGTTCTATAATCCATCGAGGGGGTACTGGAGATAAAAGGATCAATAAAACCTATATTTGCACAGACAGTTCTGCATTTAGAATAAATAAATAAATCATACAGGTTAAGATTATATTTGGCTTAGTATTGGTTATCATTAATTTCTGCTCAAATCAAATTATTTACATAGATCAGAACAAAAAATTTACCCACCAACGAATGTAGCTAATCTAATAAACCATTCTTATTTATAATGATTAGAATGCATTGATTGGTTACCCTTGCTATAAACGATATTTTCGGCCGTAATCCCAATAATATTTTACGAGTTTTGGCAAGCTTAGAAGATGTAGATTAGTCATAAATCCATATACTAAGACAGCAGTGCAAAATATTCCTCATAATAAAATATATACATTAAACACCTTACCCATCACTGTTAGTGAAACAAACACTAAAGGAACAATATACCTTACTTACAAAACACATAAACGTTTATTGTTTGCTTCATATACTACCATCTTATCTCTGTCTTTTCTTACCAGAATATAAGTTAGATTAGTACTGGACACGATAAAACTTTAAAGGCGATTGAGACATATAGTTGTGATTCATATCAAGGGCTAACCAAACTTAAAGATAGGCATATATGGACACCAGTGATGGGCAGCTATGATGAAGTTATTAATTCTGCTGATTCTTGGACGTTTTCGTAAATATTTAGGAGTAACTGTTGTAATTAGAATCAGTTAAATGATATATCAGTTAACACTTTGTATTTGTCCTTTCACGTGAACCTGATACCGAACAGTTAAAAACAAAATCTGATTGGATTCATACGTGTTTTCCCACTAAATCGTGTGACATTAGCTTTATTTCATTCACAGGCATTCCTGTTAAATCAAATTGATTATAATGTGATTTTAAATATCGAGGTAAACTATAAATAAAAATGAAAAAGATAAAATAAAAAAGACATGACTCTTTCTTTGTACTTAATATTTTTCAATGTAAAGAAATGAAAAAAAAATAGAGTTAAGAAATTAGGCCTACCATGAATTACCATAGTGGCGGTGTGACTAACGGTGCCAGCTTCGTTACTAGCGATGCACGTATAGTTGCCACGGTGCCTGAGTCTAATTGATTCAAAAAGCAGGTGAGACGTATATTCTACCACTTCTTTAATGAGAATTCCGTGGTTCTCCGTGATGGGTTGGTCATCTTTAAACCAGCGGATCTTAATGGGCAGGTCTCCACTGCTAACGGTGCACACAACAGATGAGCGTTGTTGTTCTTTTAGGGTTCTTGGGAAAGTAAAGGGTTCGATGAACGGTTTCACTAGAATGTGAATAAACCGGATATTAGATCACATGCTACATAATCTCACTGTCTGTACAAACAGTTTTCTGAATACACGTTTACAGTTTTCATTGAAACGAATATAATTTCATCACATATCATTTCCTGACCCTTAAAGTTCATTACTATACATTTAAAGTGACTCTTGTAATGGATACGGATTTATCTAGGTTTATTAAAAATAGTGAAAAAAAAAAGCTTCATAAGTTACAGCTTCATCACGAGAAACACACGCAATGTCCTGAACCACGTCTTACATTGGTTCAAGATGATGAATATATTGTATCACCAACATGCATTACGTCAATTCATTACTATAAACCTAGTGTCCAGAACCACGTCTTACATTAACTCACTACGATAAACCTAGTGTCTAGAACCACGTCTTACATTAACTCACTACGATAAACCTAGTGTCCAGAACCACGTCTTACATTAACTCACTACGATAAACCTAGTGTCCAGAACCACGTCTTACATTAACTCACTACGATAAACCTAGTGTCCAGAACCACGTCTTACATTAACTCACTACGATAAACCTAGTGTCCAGAACCACTTCTTACATTAACTCACAACGATAAACATTGTGTTTTCAACCATATCTTATATTAGCTTATTATGATAAACATATTGTCCTAAGCCACGTCTTACATTAACTCACTACGATAAAAATAGTGTCCTGAACTACATTTTATATCAG